TTTATATATATATATATATATAATTCATGCCTTATAAAATCTCACTTTTAGTTTTGCATAGTATTTTCAATGCTTGTTTGAATTACTCTGGTGAGCCTTTAGTTTTATCCAGATGACCTGAATTAGAACAAGGAATGCTAAGGTCTGATTCCTGCTAAAATCATGGGCTTGCCTTTTAGTTCACTTCATTACTTTGGAGTGTAAGGTGAGTAAAGACGACAGAAACGTTGGTCAACTTGATTTACCTGCTTATGACTGAGCCCATGCTGGTAGGACTGGGACTGAGCTCATTGGTGCTGTTCCACGTTCTGCTGAGAAATTGCATGACATGCGCGACTGCCTCAATCACATAAGAAGTCAGTGGCAGAAATAAGAAATTAACTGTATTTCTCAATGTAGGGCATGTAACTATACCATTTCCATAACTCTGGATATGAATTTCTCTTTGGAAATGATGCAAATATTTAACTTTTCTCACCTACACAGTAATGCCTTTCTTCTGTTAGCAATTATAGATGAAGGCCAGGCTATTTTAATATCCATTTCTATATATCCCCCAATAAATAAGAAACACGGCTCTTGGTATATCCTTTTTCTTATGAGAGACAAAGTATTGCAATTCAAAACAAATTCAGTACCTTCAAAGTAGCTGAAAACAAGTAGTTCAATATAATATCAGGGCTACGTCAGGAAGATAGCTAGGGGAAGCCAGGCTAACTGCAGCCAAAGAGATCCAGCTGTCTTAAGCCGAATAAATCTCTGCTAGACAAAGTGGAAAGGAAATATGTAAAATATCAAAATTGCATACGTCTCGTTTTTTAAATGTTTCCACAGAAGTCTAACAGAGCTTGAAAGTTAATCTGTAATTCAAAGAATAGGAAATACCAAGGAATCATTTACAAGGCCATAGGTCACTAGTGGGATACAGTAGTTTGACTTCGCAAATCACAAGCAAGCAATGTTAACTGAATCCTTAGTGGGTTTTATCTCATTTTTAAGGGACTGTACATCTGTTACACATTTTTTAAATGCCGGCGATGATCAAAACAGTGTACGGAGGAACATGCATAACCGTGGGGACTAATAAGAGAATTTCTGTGGTTGTGCTTGAAGAGATCCCAGAACTGAAGCCACCAAAAGCCACAGGCAAAAGTTTTACATGTGATGGCACGCATTACATCACCTAATTCTATTCTGCATTTAAAGTTACATTAAAAGTACTCCAAAGACATTGCCTGCCCAAATGTTCATCATGCAGAAGTGAGCGAGGCCATCAGGCTACTCCCTGAAAGAGAAGGTGAATCAATGGGTGTTTGTAATTCCTGTTTCAAGGCCACCAGAAACCACACTGCACTTCCAAAAAACCAGCTTCAGGGTGAGGTTCAAGGAACTGTTTAGGTAGATGTGTAAACTTCACTGCCAAAAGCCAAGAGGGTTAACAGAGATCCGGTCACACAGCAGGAAAGAGCAAAACTTCACAGGCTGAGTCCACAAGTTGTTTAAAGTTCGATGGCCAAATAATGCAATGGGGAGGGGAAGGCATAGCTATGAAGGGAAATATCTGAAGGGGATAAGAAGTGTTAAAATGCACCTGAATTGGAGGCATCCAGAGAGGGCTGCAAATGGCAACCTTTCCCTAAGCTATAGTCATTTTTGTTATTGCTGCTTTTTGTGAGTCATGTACATGTCTTCCTTCCCCCCAGGCTCTAAAATGGGAATGACACCTCAGGGGGATGTCTGTGAGATTTAATTAGCTGTCATTTACCAACAATCCTGGGTACAGTAAGACCATCTTACTTTACCAGGTGTAATTCTGTAAGGCCAATAAAAAAAACCTTTATTGTTAGGAAATTTAATGATTTGTTGTCTATATGCAGTACACGTATAGAGTACGTAAACATCATTTAATATCTTCAGAAGTGACTGGGGAATGGGAGTCCTCATTTTGATTTTCAGGGAGTATCTGGAGAGCATGTGCAGCATGTGAGCTGTGAGAACCTCTCTGCATTCTTTTGCTGACTTCTATGAAAGTACAAGGTTTGTACCCCAAATTCCAGCCCCTACAAGGGCCGGGGGGGAAATCACTGTCCAACGGGTGTTGACTCACTTGTGGTTCAAAACAGAAGCCTGCAAGTCCTAGAGCACCAGCTCTAATTTGATTATGGTAGAAATCTGAATATAACTCTAAATATCTGAGTTTTGACTAGCTTAAAATAACTTCCACCTAGCAACAAAGTTACTGCTCTGAAAACTAATTACTCCCCATCGATATCAATCAGATTGCTTGTGTAAATAGTTATCCAGGCACAAGAAATAAAAGAGAAAATCTGTCCCTTTGACTGTCATGTTCCCCAAGCTTACATGAATGGACTCTCCTCCTTATAAACCCTCCTCCCTATATTTTCTATAGCATTTCTCTGTCTGATTTACTGCAATGTGGCCTAACGAGTTTACATACCACCCCGTGAACACTGGGCAGTTTAAGTGAGTTTCTTGTGGTGGTTAGCTGTACCAGTAGGGACCTTGGGGGTTTTTACCCTCAGCAAGCGCAGAAGGGGAAGAGGGGCTGCTGTCTGCCCAAAGACCCTGGTACCATGGACCAAAGACATCAGAAAGGGCAGGCATCCTGAGACCATCCCCACTTCTGCTGAAGGCTTACCCACGGTCTATAAACCAGAACTTAATTTTTGACTTGACAAGACTCCCCTACTGAGACTTCAAAGGCTTGCAAATGCTGCTAGTATCTTATATGAAAACAAAGCAACTAGAGTTTGGCAAGGGGCGTGGAGGAGATTTATAAGGTGTCTATCATGGCAAGAAATACCGTCAACAACCCACGCAGCCAAATACTGTCCTACTTAGTTCTTATGGATGAAAATGCGGACGGTGCTTCTGAAATAACATCCTTGGCTGTTTCTATCTCCTGGCTTATAAAGTGACATTCCACAGAGTTTAAGCATGGCAAAGCAGAATGGGCCATTTGCTCGGAGAGCTATCATGTCTTCAGAACAAAAGATAAAAGAGATAAATAGCCAAGTACAATATTATACCTCAACAACCTAAAAGCCAATCTCAAAACTGAATGGAAGAATGGAGAGCTTTTATTTCTTGGGTTTTTAAAGAATAAAGCTCAGCGATTTCCTTTGAAAGCTATTCAACAAGCTCCCCTAAATCCTGTTACAACTTAATGTGAAATGCATCTGTTTCCATAAGAACACCAGTGGCACCGTTCATCCTTTGCAGTCTGTCCTTTGTTGTGTTTTCTATCTATTCTTGTAGGCTTTTTCCACTGTAGTATACCAAACGCTAAACAAGAACTGATAACATTTTAGCCAGAGCATTTATTTATTAAGTTGATGCTGGAAATTCAGTTTGTTCCTGCTTGCTGCCTGAATCATGCCAAATTAAATTATTGTTCAAGGAGTTTATAACGTAAAGGAACTGTTTCAATACTATCCCAACATTTCTTGAATGTGAAGTCTGTCTCCAGCTACAGACATTTATCTACACCTAACACCAAAGACGGATATAGTCTCTGCATGCATGTATATACACAAACTTCTCACTGTTACTGAGATCCAAATGTACTGCAATGTATTCAGCCTGCGTATCTTAAATCAGTTCAACATCAGCTCAGCACTGCACCATTTTTTTTAGAACCTGCGCATGTAGCTCTAAATATAATATTTATCTAAGACATGACCAAGTTGGTGAGTGAGACGTTTTATCTGATGTACACTGTTTAACTGAATTTACATTCAGCAGACTGTGAGGCATATTAATTCTCAGAAAGATGTATATTTAGAAAACCTTAGACAAATGGAGACTAGAAAGAGCAAGATGTAACTTGCTTTTATTAATGTCTTGCCTGTGGAAAAAGGTGACTTTTTGATTATTTGCACTCTCCAAACCCAAATGCTGAGTGCCTTGCTTATAAATACATGAATTTAAGTTTTAGCACCTTCAGCCCTTTTAACCTTCACCATCATCACCATTACAGAATTAAACAAACTATTATTTAACATGATAGCTAGCATGGCTGATGTTTTTAACCTGTTTTCCTTCTTCTTGTCTCTTAATCAGGTAACAGACATTAAAGAAAAGCTAAAGCTCTCTAAAAAGTTCTGGTCAACCTTACCCTACACAATCTGCAAGGATGAGCGAGTGACAGCCGGTCCATCAGTCGAGGAGGACTGCTGGAATGGTCACACCAAGGCGAGGTGAGGTGGACCCCTTTCCACCGCACTCAGTCCAAATCCCCATCTGGCCTGAAGCAATCATGAAACTGAGGGTATTTCACAAAACTGTTTATAAGAATGAAATGGAAACGGGGAGAACAAGTCGTTGTCCACATGCAGCCTGTAGCCGAGATTACTTATTGTCAAGGTGCCATTAAAGCCAGAGTGTGAGTCAGGGTAAATGTGCACAGCATGTCAGCATGCGAACACAGAAAATGTTCGTTGGTTCAGCTCCAGAAGGATAATTTATACTGAGATTTCAAAGAGCTCTTTAGCTCCATTTAGCAACCCTGTGTTGGGACTGACAGCTTGTGAAGCAATTGCACTCCCGGGGTATCATACTGGGATGAAACAGAAATTGGAATTTCGGCTCTATTTGCTATTGGCTAGCAAAGCTTAGGGCTATTTGCTGGAGAAAAAAAAAAAAAAAAAAAAGAAAATAGTCAGCAGAGAATAAATGTAACGCTCCTACTTATCATGTGTAGAAGGCTTGACCTTATGTTTCTTCATCAGAGGTACTGTGGTCATCTGCCTTTGTTGGTGATTAGTTTTCTGTGAGTTTTAATTTTGAAGTTTGTTTGGCTCTGGCTGCGGCAGGGCTGGAGCTGGCAGAGGACCAGGTGTCTCCAAAGGTCCCAGTGTGGATTCAACAGCTGGCAGAGGAAAGGATCTGATTATCCCTGCTGAGAGAGAGAGGAATTGGCTCAAGGACCACGACGGGGCAGTCGGGTTTCAGGTCTGCGGCGGGAGGCTGTGCTTTTGGACAGGAGGAGCAGGGAGGTTTGAGTGTCTGGTGAGCGCTGAATCTGGACAGCAGTGACACTTTCTGGCATTCAGGGACTGGAATCTTTATTTTCCTTTTACCTGATGATACTTATGAAGCCAGAATACAAAAAATGAACCAATAACAACAAAAAAAACCAACCTCAAACAAAAAACAAACAAGGGGAGATGATACTTATGAAGCCAGAATACAAAAATGAACCAATAACAACAAAAAAAAACAACCTCAAAGAAAAAACAAACAAGGGGAAAAAAAAGTGAAACAAGCACATGAAATACTCAGGGAAAATAAGACAACACAGGAAAAAAATCACAGACCTGTTAAACGCCATTTTGCGTGGATGGTTGGATGGACAGATGGACAGATACATAGATAGATTGCACCCACCCCATCATCTAATCATTTTTATAAGGAGCACACTTTACAGAGGGAGGTTTTGCACTGAATGCACACCCTTTTTCCTAGCCTTACTACATAATGCTCAAAAGAATTCATTTTACAGATGAGAGCAGAGGGCTGTTTGGGATGCTGCTAGCCCACTGAACCCACAAATCTGTCCAAAAGCATGAGTCACTGCTCAGTTCCTAAGTCCCAGATCCAGAGAAAGCCCGTGGGAACTCTAAGAAAGACAGCTAGGAGGAGCATCTGGCTATTACAGGACTCATCACAAAGGAACAGTGTGAAGAGAGAAATAAAAACGTGTTTTTATCTTCCTCTATTATATCTCTTCTTGTCAGTGGGCTTTGTAAGATATGACCCCAGGCCAGTGTGCTGCAGCAGTTAAACAGAGTTTCCAGACCTCCCAGCTGGATGCCATGCATCACATCAGGATGCATGCATTAGTAAGAAATATATACTACTCTTTTTACAACAGAGTAGCCAAACCTGCAAATATCCCTCCTGGTTTCCATGACCAATGCTAGTGTTTGTACCACACCTGGCCAATACTTTCTAGTTCTCTTCTGCTCCTGCACTGAAGGGTCTGGCACAACGTCCACATTTTTGGGGAGTTATGGAGGTGCATTTTATGCATGTAGTTTTTCACCCTCCTTTTGCAGTATTTATCTTATGAGATGCCTAGTTATTTTCATGATGCTTTCTGAGATTAATGTTCTGGAGCCACTGAGAAAAGTTATCCTCTGCTGATAATCTCCTTGATTAATTTAACATAGACATTTCACTGGATGTGGAATCACAGCTTCAAAGCATCACTGAAAATATGGTTTCAGCAGGCCCAGTCACTGCTGCTCTGTCCAGTTTCTATTTCATATCCATTCACAGAGGAAATATATAGTCATAGTCTTAATAACAGAATTCAATAAAATCTTCAGGTGGAGAGAACAGTAATAAATCAGAGATACCATAAAATGCCATGGCCTGTATATGAAATAATATTGAAAATATTATTGAAAATAACTAGCTTTAGATGCAAAATCACCTCTTGGCTGGTGAACAAGGACATGTGCTGCAGCATAAAGAAAAAACATATATGTTTCCTTGATCATACCGATCAGTATCTGATATCAAATTCTAATTCACAAGAACAAGTGTTGCAAAATCTGGCCAATGTCCATACATCTATTTGTGTTCACTCTGTCACCTGTCATAAGCACCCCTGTGCTGTACGAGGAGCTTCATTTTGAATTCCAGAGAATATGCCAACAGCCCATGATGAAAAAAAGAGGAAATTTAGCCACCTCCTGTTTTCCTAGACATAAATACTACAAGTAAGAAGACAACATGGTGTTGCCTACTGTTGGGAAAAGAGATTGTTGCTGGGTTTTGATGAGATCCTGTGGTGGTATAAAGAATTAGAAACTTTGAATTGCCAGATAGACTTTATGCCTCATGTTTCATTTTACACATCACCTTTCAATGCTGCTTTTACAGGGGAAGAGTTACAAGCTTGGAATCACAGAAAATGAAAGCTGGGCTTTCTCCTGAAAGAGGCATTACACCAAGGTCACTTGTGGTTATCACACTCCCCACATACCACTTTGCTACCATGATTAATTTACAGTGACACCAGGTTGCCAAATGAAGGTCATCAATTCACAAATAATCATGGGGTAACAGAGTCATACGTTTGGCGTTCTGGAAGGGTGCACTTGGCTCATTGCTGATCCTATACGAAGAACGTTTTAATCAGGTCACATTAGATAGAAACCAAGTACTGTGGAAATGGGAAATTTATTAGGTGGATGAAACTATTTTTTTGAAAAATCCATATTAAAAAAAATAATAACATCTACTTCAGACAAAGTGCCTTCTAGAGAGATGCCCAACAGGACTTCCTCTTCATATCTATATTCACAAAATAACTTGAACATAAATTTATCTTTAAAGAATTAATGTCTTCTGCCAGATGTAGAGAGACAGATTTTTAAAGATATTTAGGATCTAAAAAACATCATTAAGACAAAACTTTACAAGTTTAGCTCCTTCCCTATATGCAGATAAATTCTTAACAACAGCTGATAACCTCCTCACTAATAGATGTTCTCCAGAAATTAAGGAATTTTCCCAAGAATGACAAAATTCAGGCTTTAGAACTTAAACCAAATCGAAGCTATTAGCCCTTGAATAAGTCACTTTTACTGAAGTAAGAACAGTAGCTAAATCTGCAACGACTCTGGTGGTCAGGAGAAGAACCTTGAATTGCTCCAGCCAACTCAACCAACTTGTTTCAACCAAACCATGTGAGAGACTGTGCTCATGCACTATCATCTTGGTGCTCATGCTTACCAGCACGATAGACTAATATGTCTTAGTTCTGAAAGGCTGTAATCTATGGAAGAGATGAGACCTGCATTCCTTTCCATGAGGAACTTATCAGTCTTCCAAGTACAATGAAGAAGAAATAGAATTAGATAGGAGACAGACAGTAACTATAAACAGGGAAAAAAATAGAGAAAGGTAAGGAATAAAAGGAAAAATGAACACTGTAATTTTCAACATCTAGCTCAAAACTACAAGGTATTTCACCAAACTGAACACAGAATAAAGTCTCAGCTGGCCTAAAATTTTCTTCTTTTCCTGCCACATGTATGGGAGTGCCTACTTCCCCGGCAGAGAGCCTTTAATTCCTTTTTAAATTCAGGTGGGAAGAAAGACTCACCAGATCAATGCCTGCCCTGGGAAAGTTGCTCATTGCTGACCCGCAAGGCTTGCAATGAGAATGAGTTGAGTGTCCTTTACCGGGAGGTAGGCAAAGGTCACCATTTAACACCACTAGTGAAAGTGTGAATAAACCACTTCTAGGTGCGTGCAAAAACTGCCTGTTCTTAACTGATGGCTCTAGTTTATTTTTGCATCTTCTTCCTTCCAACAAACTGACAGATGAGCCATTTTCTCCCTCTCCTTCTGTCTCCTCGAGTTTTTCTCCAAGACGGAAAAAAAAAAAAAACAAACACTGAAAATATCCTATGGGAATTACCTCCTGATCAAACAGAATCAGATGAGGTGATCTAGTTAGCCAAACAAGCCAATTTTCCACCGCACTTATCTTTCTGGACCAGATGTGACTGCCTACCCCCAGCCCAGCCTGAGTAAGCCTGTGCTGTATTTTGTACTTTATTGCCTACAATTCTGTGCACCTGGAAAAACTCCAGTACTCCCTAGGTGGGATGCTCCAGTCATACTGTAAGCAGCTGCTGTGGCAGCAAAATATGGAGAATGCTGCCCTTTAAGGCAGATGTCTTTTAAAAACCAGAAGATTCCTCCTTTTTTGTTGTTTTTTTTCATAGCTACAGCCTTTATATAAATGACCTGAAAGATTCATCAGTCATTTTTAGACTTGAAAAGGAAGCAGACACCCTGGAACATTAACTGGATATTAAAAAAAAAAAAAAAAAAAAAAAAAAAAAAGTGGTTTTAAATAGGCTTTGTGGTACTTGGTTATGATGTGCCAAAAGACATCTTTGTTGTGTCTGCTGAGACAAGCAAGAACTGTGGAAAGGCTAAGAGGAACAGAAAGCATTAATATTTTAGAAAACAATGTAAATTACACTAAAAACCTGACATAGCTGAGCGAGGAGCAAACAGAAGAAAACCAACAGTACTGTTCAGCTTCTCTATACTCAGAGGGCTAAGAAAGCTGATTTTTTTTTATTTTTTTTTTTTTTTTTTGCTAGGAGGATGCAAAGAACAGACACTGGTTCAGGTTGGCACTTCTTTTCTTTTCATTTATAATAGGCATACAGGTCTTGTAACGGCCAGGCCTACAAAGAGATCATTAACGAGAGCTGAAGCAGCAGCAAAGCTTAAAATTCACAGGGGTGTCTCCACTTACAGAACTGCAGCAAAAGCAGCTGTGTTCAACAACTTCACCCAGCCAGCAACAAATCTTCTGTCAAAAAGTGGTCTCAAGACATGGCTTCCAGTTCGATGTGACTTAACCCTACCCCACACACATCAAAATGTTTTTGTCAGAACATGTCCTGGGCTGCCTCTCAGAGATGTCACTCACGAAACACCTTGGGCTGCATGTTCCCGTGTCTGTACCAGTCTGTTAAAGAAAGGAAAACAATTCAAAGATATTTACATTCAATATAGGCTTTTCTGCCCCCCCTTTTTTTTTTTTCCCCTGAGGATGCAGGTGAACTAGATCAGTAATGAGGGCAGAATCCAGCTTCACATTCAGATGTGTAAATTCACGCACTTAAATATTGATGCCTGTGGATGAGACAATAAGGAGTCATTTGTGTTGCCCGAGTGAGAGTAGTGTCAATCTGAGACTCTCCAGCATGTCTGAGTATGACACAGGACACTACCTCCCGTCTGGACCAGAGACTGGGCTAGAACTGCTTGAGTATTTTAAAAATCGTCGATGGTAAGGTGCCTGAAGAGAGCCACAATATCCAGTCAGTGTAGTCAAGTAGGAAGTTTTCCACTGCCGAAACACACTTATCTACTGCTGTGTGAGATGGTCTAAACAGCCAAGACACCTTCGTGGAGATGACAAATAAGACACTGGACCTATGGGATATTCAAGCCCTACTGGATTGGCAGCAGGACACCAAGCAGCACATGCCCTGGTGACTAAAGTGGCACTCAAGACTCAATTCACCTGCCCAAAGACACCTAATTCAATTTTAAACGCCCCAAATGTCCAAGACCTCCCCCTCAAGCCTGTAGATATGATGCAGAAAGCCACACCTTTCAGGGCTAGTAATGAGAAGAGGAGGAATAACCAACAGCATTCAAATGGCACCAGATGTCTATGTTTGTGCAACTAAATCCCAGCAGATGAAATCTAATGAACTCGTCATTTGGCCAAAGGCACGTAGGACTCCAACAGCTGTCCCCACTCCACTGACGAATAAACTCCTGACTAGTTTTGACCAGATCTTATGTTGACTAGATCTGGTGAGAGCAGGACTCTGCTCATATGCAGACACTTGCATTTAGACATACAACTATAAACCTGAAGATGAATCTTCAGCCTCTCTCATGCTTTTGCTCTTGTGCCCTAAATGCCAAGAGGCTCATTCGCCTGGGAATTTAAGTATCCACCTGACCTTTAGGCAATCATAAGGTAATGGATGTCTTGTGACCCACATCCAGTATGGCTCCCTTACACATCTAGGTAAAGGGACTGGACTGTTCTCCTGAGAGGTTAAGCCCTTCCATGCCAGGAATGCTTTGAGATCCTGAGGCAGATACCGCGAGTTGTGTGACAGTTTGACTGAATCGCTTCCTACGATTGAACGGGCTGGCCCATTTGAAGTGAGGTGGTCTTCAGAAGGACATCAGATCCACACTGAGCACAGCACAGAATATGAACCTCAATAAAAAGCACGCACCAGAGCGCTCTCCAACTGCTTTAAATCTCCAAAGTAACTCATACTGTCTCCATATAAAAAACTCACTAAGTCAGTATATTCTTCTTTTATTATTGACAATAAGGCAAGATGAAATCAAACATAAATCAGTCAAAGAAAGCCTGTGAACTGCTGTTCAGAGCTAGCCATAGCTTCTCATGGATGGCTTGCAATAAAGAGCAGCTAACCCTTCATAAACAAGGAAAGCAATCCACATGAATGCTCAGCGATTTCAAATCACTTCTAGCTGCTAACAGCTAGGGCCATTGTCGTGGACAAGATACTGGGCAAGATGGACATCCTCTCTGAGTCAGGAGGGCAATCCTTACATTCTTACCTTTTTTAATCAACTGCACCTTGAAATTGCTGATTTACTTCCAGGCTGAGTAATTTATCTACAGCAGCCATTTCATTTGTAGAGACGTGTGACAGATGGAGGTGCTCTTCCTTTGCAGCCCAGAGCTTCCCTGCGTGCCAAGGTCTCTGTCCTGCTGCCTCCAGGCAGCTCTGCAGAATTATTTCCAATTTCTATCTTTGGTGATTCATAACACTGCGGTTTGCAGTCCTCTGTACTAGGGGAGGTGGCTCCGTATTCTCACGGTAGTTAAGCCTGTACCACAGGAGTCTGGATGGGACCCCTACAGCATTGTTATTTCTTGTTATGGTCCTAGTGAAACAACAGGACATGCAGTTTGAGGCTGGGTATTTTTGGCAGTCATGTTTTGTTATATGTTCACACTCCCCCGGGATTATTCTCATGTAAGATTTCAAAGGCCAGTGATGACAAATGAGTCTCATCTTGCAAAAAGAGGACCTATTGCAATGAGACTAAACCCTTTCCTGGTGCGGCAAAGCAGTCATCATTTTGTGAACCTCCAGAAGCAATACAAAACTTATTTTCCCTTAACCATGACTTCAGCAGAGAAAGTCCTTTCTTCTCCCTTACTTTCACATCTATTTTTAAGGGATATATTTGTTTTCCAGACCAATATGAACATAACACTAGCACCTAAGCCACATTTGAATATTGATAGAGAATTGGGCTGGCAGAAGTGAGACTGAAGTGAAATACTCTTAAACTGTATTTGGTACCAGGCATCATGAAAGTTTGCCATTAGTAGGCTAGACTGTGCTATCATTCCTGGCTGAGCACATACCCACACAAGGAGTCCCACAAACATCAGTAGGATGGCTTGGTGTGCAAACTAATTACACAATAGATCATATCCCGATAAAGAACATGAACAAAGGGTAGATCTGCCCCAAATCCCTTGCAGTCTAAATATGAGACAAAGTTAGTAGGTAAATAAAGACAGACGAGAGAGAACAGGGAAGCAGTGATACACTATTTTCTCAGGATGCCATGCCAGCACAGAGAAATAAAGTCAGCCCTTTCTCAGCCTAGCAGCTGTAAAATGCACGGATAATTTTTAACAGAGATTCAAAGCAGGAAAAAAGGTAGCTTTGCAGATGCCTATAAGGAGAGTTTCCTGAGGACAAAGAGCAGCAGGGGACAAAGTGTGCGTATTTAACAAAAGATGAAGAAGACTTTTACCATAGGATGATTGGAGGCGTGGGCCAATTTTTGCAGGGGAGAGATACCTGCAAACACACGCTTGCTGCCTGTGAGCACCCCAAGACTGCATTTGACAAGGTCAGAGAAGGGAATTCTGCAGTAAGCAAGAAATGATAAGCTACGAGTCTGAATTAAAAATTCGGATGTGTGGATGGATAGCAAATGCCGTACCTTAAATATGTTGTGCACAAAGCACGTGGGAGATGAAAGTATAGCCTGTTTGCAAGGTGTAAGGACCAAATCAAAGAGAATACTGGAGTTTGGTAAACTCACAACGCCATTTATGGGCCTGGATGTTGGATACGCTGGAGATGTTCACGGTGGTCAAAAAAGGGATTCAAGGAAGAACTGGAGAACAAAATTAAGTGCTTCCTTTAAACAAGGAGAGCCATAATGCCTTGAGATAGCCTTCTAAACTATCTCAGAACTATATATATCAAAGGAGTTCAAATTTTTTAAGCAGAAGGAAATAAAAACAGAAGAATGCCCTGTTAGATGCTTAATTTAGTGTGCGACCATTCACAACAGTAGAGGATCTGAACATGCAGTGTCTTGCTGCTGTCTGGTGAACCTCTTCCATAGTTCACAGAGCCAGTGCACTTGCTGAGGAGTATGTGGAGAGTTAGGAGGTTGGAGAGCTTAAATTCTTTCTGCTCTCCATGCAGCTGAGCTACTAAAAAGATCCTTTAGACTCTGTAAAGATAAAAAACTTATTTTTAAAATGGTTTCACTGCAGCTGTTTAAGAACTGTGTAATCATTATCAGTGTCAAATTGCTTAGCACAGCATTTACCGTACAGTGTTTGATTTCTGAAACTTATGGCACTTTAAACTAACCATTCATCCTGCTATATAGATACTTGCCTGAGATTATGAACGATGGCTTGACCAACCAGATCAACAATCCAGAAGTAGATGTGGACATCACAAGGCCAGACACCTTCATTCGACAACAAATCATGGCTTTACGTGTCATGACTAACAAACTGAAGAATGCGTATAATGGAAATGATGTCAACTTCCAGGATACAAGTAAGAAACCATTAACTGTCATTAAATAACTCTATTTTTGGAACACACTCATAAATCGTTTCCATTGCAATGGCTTTCTTTGGTCTTTGTGCTCTGTGCTGCTGACAACATAAAAAGTCTTTTTCTGTCCTGTGAAATTCCAGTTATATATTTGTTTCTTTTGCTTCTCTTACTCATCTTAATGCCAAATGCATCAAGGCACTGAGGGCTTTCAGTAATGCCAGCAGTCCACTCCTTTTTCAAAAGAGCATTTAATCGCCTAATTAAGTCACAGTGGCTTTCATTTGGATGTTTTACTGAATGAAAGTTAGCACCACCAACACTTTCTCATTCCCAAGGTGTACACCCCCACCAAGGTGCCAGGTGGAACGGGAACAGAGAAAAGGGATGAATGCTGTAACCCATGTCCCTCATGTTTATTCCCTTGCTCCTTTGTGCCAGGTGATGAAACCAGCGGCTCAGGCAGCGGAAGCGGCTGTACGGATGACATCTGTCCCACCGAGTTTGATTTCGTCACCACTGAAGCACCACCGGTTGACTCCGACAGGAGGGAGGTGGAGGCTTCAGCCACACAGCCTGGTTGGTCACTGCAGATATTGTTTGTCATCTTCATCAGTCTCATTCTGCAGAGACAGTGGAGATAATCCTGGATCAGGTCAGAGAAACTGTGTTTTAGCTACAGAAACAGCCAACTTTCTTCTTTTCTTACACTCTTGGACAATGGACCATGCCACAAACACTTGCAGTTTTCTACAAGAAGAGAGCAGTACTGCAACCTGCTTCCCTTTTTTGTTTTCCCAAAGAGTACCAGGTGCCAGACTGAACTGCTTCCTGCTTTTTTCAGATATCTCTGAAGACGATATCCACTCTTGAGAGAATTCTTTCTCAAACCTTTATTACAGGAGACTTTCTGAGCTTCATTTCCTTTTATGCTGCAAAAGTAAAAAAGGATCTTACGGTGTGTGTTTTTCCTTAACGAGAAAAAAAGAGGGGGGAAGAAACCAAGAACACAGTTTTCTTTCTGAATCAGGCCTGACTCACGGCTGCTGCATTTCAACAGATTATCAACAAACAAACAAACCAAAAAAAAAGACAAGAAGGGAACAACAAAAAAAAATGCAACTGTTCTTCACTGACAGCCAGTTTTCCTTTAGGAACTTCTGTAGGATGATTCAGGTCATCAGAATGATCATTGCTATAGGGAGGAAGTCTGGATTTTTTTTCCAACACAAAAGTATGCCTCAAAGGTGAATGTCTTGCACTCCATCTGCCAACCACATCAGATTGGTATGAAGGTAGAGAAGCTGAAAAATAAGTTCATCTTTTAGTATGATAGTAACTCCACTAGCTTCAGAATATCATGTTACAGTTGTTTAGGATTTAAATCTTAATGCCCAGTAAAAATTGAGTATAGCACGATTTCACCTAGCTTCTTTTAGGATTTATCCATGTTATACAATTGGCACAGATTTCCACTTAGCTCACCATCAGCCGTGGTGGTAATGCTAAACAACACTCCTGACAAATCTCCCCTCAAGGCTGGGACATGAAATAATCTCTTGTGATATAATCTCTTTCCTTTTGTCACTGTTCTGACATTGATTAGGACTTTCTGCTACTATGTTCATTGTCCTACCAAGACGGCAATTCTCTAATGGACTAACAGCGACCGGATCAATAGTGTGTTTCACACCTAACTACATCTTTCATATCAGTTAATTTCAGTGTCACAAGGATTACTTCTACAAAATTTCAGAACAAACAAATATATAGTACTGACATGGAGATTTCTTTCACTTTTTTAGTCTTAGTATGATCATCTATTTTTATATATATAAATATATATAAATCACAGATTTTAACTTCTTAATTACAAGCTCAGGGTTGACACTTCTTTGTAAAAAAAAAAAAAAAAAAACAAAACACGTTCAGTCAACCAGCTCTTCCTTTTTGTGCAGCTCTGAAAAGTAACCCTTTAATGACTGGTGAGCACGAAAATCAAAGAAGAGAATTTTTTACATATCCAGTTGTCCATTCCTTAACAGGTTTGCAGGGTGGGAGAGAAAACCTCTCTCATATGTGTGTATTTGTGGGGGGCATGTGAGTTTATATGATAGGCCTAGAGAAGGACACGGATGTTATTTGTGATGGCAATTGTACTCTCAGATTCTTCAAGGATACATTGCTTTAATAATCATTGCTTAAATGACCATGGTCCTGGATAGAGTTTCCCTAATTTGCATCTGGTCGTAAGACCCAAGATGGAAGTTGTTTAAATCCCGGACAAATGAGTGTCAACAGTTAGACATCAAAACCTTCCCTCTTCCATCAGCCACAGACAAAGGGCTTCTGGGACATTTATGTGTGGTGTTGAAGTGAATCGCCAGAAATTTATTTCCTGATTCTTACAGTTACTCTGGAAATAGTAAAGCCAGCCAACCATATTACAATTTAACAGCAGAGCAGGTAGATCATATCCATTGCAATCTTTTTCTTGTCAAATTATAATTAGCTATCGATTTATGCATGAAATTAAAGTAGAAAACACACAGCACATTAGGATAAAGTATACTCAAGCATTTTTACCAAAAAGTATTTACAAACTCTCTATATAGTATGTCTAATATCAAAAAGCATAGATTTTGAGCCACTTGTATTCAATTCTGTTTTTTTCCCGTTTGTTTTTTACTTCAAAGTATAACGATCTATTCTTCTGGGCTCAGCCTAGTGTGCCGGAGTCGCTGGCTAGGTGTTCAGATCACACACGTCTTACCCCGGCCGTAGCAGTGCTTCCTGCTTCTCCGATGGTTCCCTCCAGAGCGGATCTTGTGATTCAACATTTAGCATCTTCAGGAGATTATGTAGCACAGTTTAAGCCAATTCTCACGGGCTTTTTCGTTGGCCCTGGTACAGCAGGTACCAAGCAGAGGATCTTTTTTTAATTTGTTTCCTGAACTTGCACATGCAGCTTTCTACAAGGAGAACCCTTTAAAACTCTCCCCTGGTCCATCTCTTTCTACGCTTCTCCTCAGCAACTTTGTTTCAGGACAAGTTGAGCGTCATTTTGATTTATCTCATTCTGTGTTTATTCAGTGGTAACTGATACTACTTCCATCTGATTAATCTGGGTCTAGAAGCTTATTCATAGGTAACGAAGTCCAAGCCCTCTGAGGCAAGTCCTCTGTTGTACCTGCTCCACACTGCCGGTTAAGGAGCTGATGCACTCCTGGTCTTTGTGCTAGCCTCGGCCCACATTTGGGCAATATCTGATGACTTTTTTTCAGCTGGTGCAGCCAAACTGGGTTTCCAGGGTGCTCTCAGCTATTTGTAGACCTCCATGGACTCGTGGGCAAGGAGTAATAGGGATCCCTCAGAACTAGGGGGATTGCTGAAGGCTGTTCTCACCCAGGGAGCTTGCAGGAGGGGCCCTGCTATGCTTGGACTGGATCTTACAAACTGCTGGTGAAACAACAAACCAGACTAATCTTTGCCGAAATGTGATTGTCTCATGGGGGTTCTGCCAGAAATTTATGTCTTCCATATTATGTCTCCTCTTATTTTCCTACTATGCATGGTGATATCTTGTCAGGAGATGGAGATGCCTTTGTGTGAGGTATTAGGCATACATTTCTTTAATAGACCCTAAAGGTTGAATACTCTTGTCATATGTTGCATTTTTCCAAGATTAAGAGAGCTATTAAATCTACAGAGCAAATGAAATTGGGAATGAAGGAAAGAAAAGAAAGAGCATTCATGTTCATAAACGTAAGAATCTACATAATTTCCAATGTTTCTATTTGCACATTCTTTACATCCAATAACTCTTCTTCTAAGGTAATTTTTTGGTGTGCTACAATTTAAATATTTCTCTTCTGTTAGCAGCCAGTAAACTAAGAAATGATAAAGAAGACAATTACCTGTTCAAGAAAGAGGATCTAAGACCTAAGGAAAAATCGTTTGATTGTGTAAAACTTTATGCTGTGCAATCCAGAAGTTCTTGATATTTTTATGTTCTTTTAAAGTGGAGGTTATTAAAAAAGTAGACGCAATTAATAACATAACCAGTGCTGTAGACCCCTGTGAAGTTTTCTGTTTTAATATTAATTGCTTTTGCACCGTCCCCAAATTTTTAGTGTTCAGCGTACTGCAGATTTTTCCATCAATGACTCAGTACACCCTACTGTACTTGCGGTGCAGACTACCTGAACTCTGGCTAAATTTAGGCGTTTCAAAAAAAGACAATGAGAAAGAGTTGAAAACAGGGGGTAGAGATTTCCTACTAAAGTGGAAGAGCAGAGGAATCTGTGCCTTAGGGTTCTGCTAAGGGTTGATCTATCCCAGTTCCCTAAGAGGCATCACAGAGGCTCTGTCCATGAAAAGCTCCCAAAATCTGAGTCTCAGCCGTAAAATCATCCTGGTTCTGTGGGATTTTTAGGAAGGACGATTCCCACAGATGTGTGAACCAGTTTGAGCTGCTTCCATGCAAAATGGCTGTGAGCTAGAGCTGTTCTTGTGAGGGGGACTGCACATGCAGCATCTCGGCAGGCAACAGTTGTTTGCAGTTTACTAACAGACTCTGAATCATTATCAAATGTAACTATACTTATTCACCTAGACTTTTATTACTTCAACATGAAAAATAAATTACAGCACTGATGCAAGTTGTGGTTTTCGGTTTTAATTTACTTCCAAAGATAATCCATTAAAACTGAATACAGAAAATTTTAGAATTATTCTGCTGGGAAAATCAGATTTCTACAGATTTCATTATGGAAACAAATGTCTGGACAGACTTCAGATATTAAGAAGAAATCCACATTTCAAAGACCACAATGCCATGTTTACTGTATTAACCAATAAATGTTCAAACCTGCTAGATGAGAATGAATAGAGTTAACAACAGTGGAATATTATGTAGAATTGCAAAAACCATAGTTTGAAAGGGAAATTCAACAGTCAAAGGCTAAGTCTTAGCAGTGAGGCTGAGAATATGTTGTCAAAACATAATAGACACAGCAATGCCTCCTTTAAGAAAATTAAGGCAGGTGATGCACTGAACAGAGTAACGTTTCCATTACAGCTACTCACAGGGACTGTGAGGATTACATTAACGTGTAATTATGACCCTTTTTTGATAAAACAATGATAAAGACCAGAGTACCATGGTAATAGGGTACATGAAAGATAAACAATATGATAGCAACCATTTTCTCATCTGTTAAACAGCATAGGAGACCAAGAACTTTGAAACTGATTTTTAAAATAAAATTCTATCATAAGTAAGAGAAATGATCTCAAATTAATTCAGTCAGAACATTTTCCAACAGTCTATCCTATTCAAATCTGATGACCAACATAACCAAACAATAACTTAAGGGTAATTCTCTGACGTAAAATGAAGCGTTCACTTACAGTACTTACTACTTTTTCTACTAAACCGACTACATAGTTTACAGTTCCAATTGTGCATCATATGTGACTGTATAACAAACTTGTGCATTGCATCTGTGTGAAATCCTGTCCCTGGGACAAAGCAAATGAGAGCTTTGTCATTAACAAGGATTTTGGCTATAATCAGAGACAAAAAAGTAAGTCCTTTTTTCTGGAAGCTGTTCATATTTGATTTCTTTCTGACTCTCAATAA